GTTGCGCCTGAAGAACAAGCTAGGCCAGGTGAAGCATCTTTCACTCGCCTGAACACATTGACAATGCTAGGACAACTGAATCAGTTGCGCCTGAGGAAAAAGAACCAATTTCCTCTGCTCCTCCTGCACCAACACCATGCCCAGTTCTTCCTTCTGTATCAGAAGCGAAGAAAACCAAAACTGCGGAGCGAGCAACCATGAATAAAAGGAAAGCATCAGCCGCCTCAGAGTCTTCAGTACCAAAGAAGATGAAGACTTTGACAAGCTCTTTTGACAATCCCATCGATGCTATTCCTGTTTCGAGCATGCCATAAAAGGAACTCGTTCCCTTTGGTGAGGATTATGAGATCCCAAGAGGATCTGATGAAGATGTTCCTTCTGCTGCTTCGTCAGAGCAGTTGGACGAAGAAATTGAAGTGGAGGATATCCCTTCAACTTCATTGGTATCATCGCCCATGCCTCAATTCACAGTTGAAGAGGAAGGCGTTGAGGAAATTGATGTAGAAGAAGAAGACATGGACATTGGGTGCTCCACTCCTGTTATGAATGATGACTATTGGGAAAGTCAGGACCCCAATTCTCCATTGTTCACCCCACTGCAACAGATTCCTCAGTCCTCTGCCCAGACTAAAGAAATTCCTATGGGCTTTGAAGAACCTCAAGCTTCTCTTCTCATCATACCTGAAGAAATTCCAGCCACTAGTACTGATGCTCATGCTGTTGAAGAAATGGAGACCCAGGCTGCCACTGAAGATGTTGGCACTGAAATTCCTCAGGCTGCGGCTCCTGAGACTGTGATTCCTGAGGCTGCGAAGACATTGACTAATACTCCTCAGCCCAAGCTGAAGAATCCCTTCTCAAAGAAGCAGAAATTCAAAGCAGATGACTTCTTTCATGAGCATGTATTCTTCACTGACTACACCCCATATGACTCTGTCCGTCTTCGAAGGAAGCGTTTCTGGACAGCAAGTCGGATGAATTTCTATTCTTCTCTACTTTTTGACAAAGACAAGATCTTCGACCATGATCATATTCCTCATGTTGACATGGAATCGCTGCCTTGCTTCACCCCAGTCCTCAGTGTTCCTCATGATGCTGTGCTACTCAACCTCTGCACCGATACCATTGACTGGAATGAAGAACTAATTCTTCAGTTCTATGCGATGCTGCACATCACCGGCAATGTTGATGTGAATTCTTGGGTGTTGGACTGGATGACAGAAAACACGCACTTCAAAGCACCAGCCTCTGAACCGCTTCATGCGCTGCCTGTCAGTCCTCCCCTTGAAGGTGCCTAGCTCATCTACCATGAACCTGAGCTATCTGATCATTACATGCAAGTATTGATGAAGCCGCTGAATCCTGGTCAAGCCCCCAGAACCAATTTCCTCGTGAAGGAATTGCTATATGTGCCGAGGACTATCTATCGCATTCTAACCAAGACCCCGAGTCCTATCAAAGGCCACGATTCTAATGAAGAAGAAGTCGTTGGCATCATGAAGAATTTTCTATTCAACATCATTCATGGTGTTCGAATCAACTACCATGGTTTCTTCATGAGGACTCTAGCCAATGTTGCACTGTCACCTTTTGAGTTGAAGCCTTACGCTCCTTGGATTATGAGATTCCTCAAATCAAGGTCTTCAATCAATTACAAGGCAGACTTTCAGAATCATCTCAGCTACTTGCCACCCATTGAAGTCTTCAAACGGTCTATTTCCTCATCTGATGAGAAGGGCAAGTCTTCTATTATCGATGAAGGCATTCGTCCTTTGGATAGATAGTTTCGTAAAGCTGCATCCTACTCCATCAATGATGACTCTGCCACTCATAACTCTGCCACCAATGCTTCAAAGAATAAATCCCCAAGGCACGGCTCCAAGGGTGCTGACTGATCGTGAGCTTCTCCTCAGTCTTCACCAAATGGTCGATCGCAACCATAAATGGGTCAAGCGCCAGTTTGGTTCAATTCTTCAGAACATGACCATCACTCAGAATTCACTGAAGAAGAACCATTACTACCTCCATGAAGTATTTGATCGCACCTGGGATGTACTATCTCATCTCTACGGTGAAGATGACCTCAAGAAGATGGGCTTCAAGCAGGACTTTGACTGGTGTCAGCCACATTCGAAGAAATTCAAGAAGGTCAAAGTTCCTCACTTGGTGGCCAGCTCTTATTCCTCATCGCGTGAAACTAATGAAAATGAAGACTTGGACGACACTGTGGCAGGCCCTACTTCAACAACCGACCCAAACAACGCTGGCGCTCCTCCATCGACTTCATGATGATATTCTTCAGGGGCGTTAGTCCTCACTTTTCATCCCTTTTGATCATTCGATGACAAAGGGGGAGAAATTTGAGTTAGTCTCCAAGCGGGTCTATCTACATGGGCGTTTTTTTTGCTAAGTTACAACTCTCGTTCTTCTGAAAACTTTGTTGGATCGAGTTGTAATCTTAACTTCGATGGTGGTCTGATACTTTCGCTATGTTCTTCTGCATGTTGTTTCCTCATGTACGATGATGCACGCATGCTGAATTACATCAGTCACCATATTTCATCATGCATTTCAAATTCTTCATATTATATGTTAAATGCGTGTATGAATTACAAGATATAGGGGGATCTCCATGATACTACTCTTCAATGTGCATTGCTTCTCAAAAGCAAATTCCTCACACATGCACATCTTTAGGGGGAGTTTTTCTATATTTTGCAATCAAATTCCTGAATATCAGTATTTACACTTCATATGTTTATTCCCATTGAAAACTTAACCTATATTATTATCAATCACCAAAAATGGGGAGATTGTAAGTGCATCTAGTGCCCCTTAGTGATTTTGGTGTATTGAAGACTTATAAGTTAAGGGACTAATGTGTTTGTGAGTGTACAAAGGTCTATAAGTCTATGAGGAGTTTGATATTTACAGAGAAAGTCGACCCCTAAAAATGAATGTCTTCAACTGAAGATTTTGGTTTTCTGAAGACTTTGAAAGTGAAGAAATTGATGTGATCCTGAAGACTTGGTATTGATGCGAGGAACATGAAGCGTGAAGACTTTTGTTTTCGTAGTTTCATTTTCTCTTTCTTGAGTCATAGGAAACACCGTATTGTTAAAAGGGGTCGAGGTAAAACTAAGAAAAAGTTTCCAAGTGATGCTCATCTCAAAATCCTACACCTACCAATCCTTTCGAGTGAAACCATTGGAAATCTCATACAGTCCAGTCAATTTCTTCAGTGATAGAGACGAAGATCTTCTGTTCTCTGAGGAATTTATTCTGACTAAGGAGTTAGGAATTCACCAGTGCGGATTGCCTACAAGTGAGGAACATGATAGCCCCGAGGAACTTGATAGCCAAATTTTCGACCGTTGTTGTGCTGCGTGCCAGCTGTCTCAAAATATCCACCCACCTAACGGTCATATCATTGAAAGGCATTTATGTCTTGTCATGTCGGGCTGCTCCCTAGGCTATAAATAGCCACCCCCTATAACCACTAGCTGGTTGGCTGCTCCGCGAGAAACTGACACTTGTCATTGAGAGCATTTCATCCTTCAAGGACTTTGAGCGAAAATCATCAAGTGAGGAAAACCCAAAACCCCAAACCAAACACCTACAAACCCAAAGTGATTGAGCATCACTGAAGAGATTGTTCCTGTGTGGAACCGACATTTGTTACCTTTAAGGACTGTGCATCCTCCAGACGGTTAGGCGTCATGGTCTAGAGCATCCAAAAGGAAATTATGGATCACCGGGTGACCAAGTTTGTGAAGGTTTGGAAGTCACCTGAAGACTTACCACGAGTGATTGGGCGAGGTCCGTGTGACATTAGCTCAAGGAGAGTACGGTAAGAACTGTGTGTCCTCAGATTTAAATACCTAACCGTTCCAACCAGACGTACAACTGTCACAACAGTTGGAACTGGTCTACCAAATCATTATCTTCACCGAGCTAACTGGTTTTATTTCTTCAACCCTTTCATTTCCTCATTACTGTGTTGTGTACTTGATCGCTATTGTTTGAAAACTTTGACTGAAGACTTTCTTAATTTTCTCAGTTTAATTTCTTCAGTCAGTTTGTCTTCAGCCTGCTTATCCTGTGTTTATACTTTCTGTACTCTGTGCTTGTTTTCATTTCATCATGATGATTGTGCCTTTGTTCTGTTATGTTTGCACCTGAATACTTATTCCGCTGCTAGTCGTTCGTGACTTAGGAATTTCTTCACCCTGAAATTCCTCAGTGACGAATTTGTAAAAATCGCCTATTCACCCTCCCTCTAGCCGACTTGATGCATTTTCATAACTATATCGAAATCCTGCTTGAAATCAATATTTAATTTTGAATGGAAACAATGAGGCGGCGATTGATATCGAACTAAAGTCTGTTTATGACAAGTGAAACACACATGTCTTTTATGTGCAATAAAAAAAGTCTTTATGCACATAGCCAATGCGGTCATATGAAATACTTCCTTCATAAAGAAGAATATGGACGAGGATTTGAGGCTCTCAGGTGCCACACACCCCTATATGAATATAGCACTAAAAACATATTAGAAAATTAAAAAAAAAACAGAAATTTCGGGATATCCAACCTGGGAGTCCATTGTATATCCGTGTTCAGTTTTGTGAGGAATGGGTGCTCGAGGTAATGTAATAAAAAAGAAAAAAATTGTTATGTTTAGAAAAAAAAATTGGATATACTGTATGTCAAACCGTAATTCCTGTGCCGCGGATACCGCAGGCATCCATTTCCCACGAAAATGAACACATGTGTACAATGAATACTTATTTTTGATATCCAAAATTCAGATTTTTTTTAAAATTTCTTATTTTTAATACTATTTTTAAATACGAGTGCGTGCACCCGGGTGCTTCAATGCATTTCCCATCGTTTAGATCACTACGCTCCATATTCATAGGGCGACTTCGCTAGAGCAACTGCTCTAGTTGCTACGAGAAGGTTTCGGAAGTGTTCGGTTCTTTCCAGAGTTCCAGATGCATCTCCTTGCTTCTCTTGTGTGTTGCCGCTTTATAATGCAACCCGTCTCCGTGTGTTCAAGCAGAGCGACCAAAGAGCAAAGTGACGAAGAGCACACTGCAACTCACCGAGCAGAGTTTGTTACAGGACACATGGCTTTAGCTCGCCTGTGCCTCAAGAAGGCCCTCGCCGGCCGCGCGGCAGCTATGGCGAGGCCAGCATCAGCCAGTTCTCACGGAGGAATGGACCTCCGGTCCCTCTTCTCCTCCGCGGCAGCTGACAGCGCCGCGACCAGGGCTCCCCTGGAAGGAGAGACGAACCGCCGGGAGGTCGCCGTGGCGGACCGTTCCAGCTCTGCCACTGCTCCCGGGGGCCGTTGGCCTTGGAGAGACCTTCGGGACTTCGCGCCATTCCGCCTCGTCAACGGTACATAGCGGCTACTCCGTCCGTACTTCTTTCCAGACTGTCGCGCACGCCGTCCCGCCGGCGGTTGTTGACGTAGGTGTACATGCAGGGCTTGGGAGCGCGCTGTCGCACGTCGCGGAGACCCTGAGCCGGCCGCTGGAGCGGTGGCGGCCGCTGTTCGGGAAGGTGCGGGAGGACGAGGAGCGGTACAGGCTGCGGTTCGAGGTGCCGGGGCTGGGGAAGGACGACGTGCGGGTCACCGTGGAGGACGGCGCGCTGGTCATCCGGGGCGAGAAGAGGGTGGAGGATGAGCACGGTGGCGACGGCGAATGGTGGTCGACGAGCAGCTACGGGTGCTACCACGCGAGCCTGCTGCTCCCGGAGGACGCGCGGGTGGACGGGATCGCGGCGGAGGTGAAGGACGGCGTGCTGTACGTGACGGTGCCGCGCGTGCCCGGGAGCCAGAGGAGCGTCACTGAGGTGAAGGTGCAGTGAGAACGTCCGTCGGTCATCGCATAGTGTATCGGCTGCGCGCACTGCTGTGTTGTGCATGCGTGGACACTTGTCTTTGTTTGTCTGTGTGGATTGTGTATGTGTGCACGTATGCTCTTTTCCTTTTCTATTGTAATAAATGATCGATCCGACTTTATTTCGTGCCTAGACCACATGATGTAAATGATGTAAGGGCATCTTCAACAGCAACCCAATTTTCCTTTTATAGATCAAGGACCAGTTCGTAAACACGCATATCAAAATCTCTCGGCTGCATACAAATGGGGCTTCAAGTTTGGCGACTAGCTGGAATCATATCAACCACAATGCAGTCGGTTCCTGACGAGGAAACGCCTATAGGGTTGGCCCACAACTACGTTTAGCCTAGTTAAAGGCTCGGACCCATTTATTATTAGATGCATTAAAACAAAGATGTTAGAAAGCCTCTCACGTTATCAACAATTTTGATCGTTAGATCATTTTTGACCGTCCAATGAACCTCTTCCTTGTTAGGTCGCGCGTCTGAATCATTTTGGACCGTCCGATGAACCTCTTCCTCCCGTGTGGGCCGCTACTCTAGAAACAAATTTTGAGGCTTCTCATTCGCTCCCAAATAGACAATCGTGATGTTGACACCGCACAGGCCCCTCCCCCTCCCCGATCTCTTGACCTAGGGTGAAACCTATGCGCGCCGTCACTACTGCCATCGCCGCAACTATGTCATCGTCGCTGTCGAGAGAGAGAGAGAGAGGGAGGGAGAGAGACGCCACTACTGTCGTCGCCGTTGCCGAGAGAGGGAGGGAGGGAGGGAGGGAGGGAGAGGGAGAGGGAGAGAGAGACGAGGGTGGTTGATGGCAACAACGGTGACGGGCAAATGAGCTTGCGAAACTCAAGCGTCGGTGGTTGGGCCAGGCCAGGGACTTCATCCGTAAGCGCACCTGCACTACCGACGATGACAGCTCAACCGCCATGGTAGGGCAGCCGCCAGCCGCCATGGTAGGGAAGTGTCTCTTCGTTTTGTTGGGAAATCTCAACCGGGTTGTCTCCTTTTCCATTTTTGTTTTTTCATCAGTACTAATTTCTATATTTCTTGGTGGGATGGCGACGTTGCCAAATCCCTAGCACTCACCACAGCACGGCGGCAGCTACCTGCACCACTTCACCGTTCATTGTAATGAAAGCATGATGTGATGAGCTTCTTCTAGAGGCTTAGAGGTGAAGCCCGAGGAGGAAGGGAGGGATGCATTGTCACGCTCGATCTTGACATCTTGTACTGACAGTTTGACATAGTGATGGGCGACAGTGGGAAGCCTACTGGAATCAACTTTTGAGATTCGATCCCCTCTACTTCCTTAACATAGTTCAAATGATACACACTATGCTTAGTATTTCGTTTCCAAGGAATAAGATTTGGACTGTTTTCCTGCAAAAAAGTTCGCAATATAAATATATGGATGATGACGCTTTGATTAGTGGCCCGTGCGGATCACCCGACAAGCGGGGCGTCGGCTGGGTTTGCTCAAGCAAACTCTCTTCCTGATTAACTTTTTATGTCTCATGTTTCTTTTGTCTATCCAAACTTTGATTCCATTACGGTGTACATGGCATGTGTTTGATGCAATGCACAAGAGGAATCATTGGGCTCAACGGTCTTTATTTTCTATGTACAAGGAGCCGAGGAGTACATCATGGACTCACTACAGCATATGCCATTAGTCTCCGTAGTCCATTGCTGTAACTAATGTTCATATCAATTTACCATATGGAATATTAAAGTTTCACTCCACATCAAGATCTTTATGTGGTTCGTCCATAAAGAAGTCATCTTGACCAAAGATCATTTGATGAAAAGGAATTAGGTTGGTAATCCCAGGTGCTGTTCTTGTGATCAAAACGAAATGATTAAACACCTCTTTCTCGAGTGTCCACTTGCAAAATTGTTATGGCGATCTATCCACATAGATTTTAACATCCAACCTCCAATGAGCATAAACACGTTATTTGTAACGTGGCTTAATGAAGTAGACATACACATAGCTAAACATATTCGGATAGGGTATGTGCTTTATTATGGGCTATATGGAACACTACAAATGATATGATTTTTAATGGTACAACATTCACCAATTTTTCGCAGGTTATCCAGAGCTACAGCATGGATTCGTATGTGGTCGTTACTCATGCGGACTACAGGGGGTCTATGGTTTTTGGGTGCAACCGCTGGGAGACGGTAGTATGGGCTATCTTCAGCCGATTTGGATGGCGAGTTAATAATAGGCTAGATGTGTAGGCATCGTAGCATGTTCTTTATCGTCGGATCTGGCGCTTTATTACCAGATTTTGAGCTTCCTTGGATGTTAAGACACTGCTTTGATTTCTAATAATATGGCTACATGCATCGACTGATGTAGAAGCCAAAGGTATTCCTTCTTTTCAGAAAATAAATAAATAATTATGTTATAGGTAAATATGTGTTGGCTCAAGATTCATCAGAGTTATTCACTTCTTAACATGTGGACCACTCCCCGATCTCTTGACCTAAGGTGAAACCTATGCGCTGCC